TTGGGATATTTCACCCCCCACCCCCGCCCCCCCACCCGCTCGCCTTGCCATCCAGAGGGATGTCGATCTGGACAAACCCGCCGCCGCCCGCCTGTGCCTGCGCCTGCGGCGCGGCCGGCCCGCGCAGCAGCCAGGCCGCGGGCCCTCCGCCTGCGCCCGCGGGCGAGGCCGCTCCGCCGCCGCCGCTGCCGCCGCCCGCGCCAGCGCTGGCGTTTGTTGCGCTGGCTGCCTCGCCGTAGATGACCCAGCGTGTGAATGCCGAGTGGCTGGAGGCTGAGACGGGGTGCAGCCACTTGTGACACACCGCCTCCTTCCACCCGTGCCCCGCCAGGCTGCCGGGGGGCGCGTTGCCGCAGAAAGAGTAATAGGCGGAGCAGGCGACCGCCAGGTTGACGCTGTTCATCACCACGATGGCCCACACCTGCCGCCCGCTGGCCGTGGGGCTGTACAGGCGGTGGTCGGCGGCGCGTACCGCCACCGCCACGCCGTACGCGCCGTGCAGCGCGCCCAGCATGCACAGCGAGCCCAGGAAGCAGGCCAGCCACATGCCGACGTCGGCCTTGACGTTGATGCCTGCGGGGTGGGGGCGGGGGCGGGGGGGTGTGGTGGCGCCGGGGAGCGAGCAGGGGAGCGCGCGCAGGGCTGCCTGCCTGCCTTCCTGCCTGCCTGCAGCCTGCCTGCCTGCGCCCTGCCTGCGCCCTGCTTGTTGCCTGCCCGCTGGGACCGTAAGCACCCGCCCCCCACCCCACCCCACCCATGGACTCCAGTGAGGGCAGGTGGTAGAAGACTGAGATGATGAGCCAGGAGATGTAGCAGGTGGTGTACTTGATGTAGCCGCTGCAGAGGGGTGGGTGGTGGGGTGGGTGGGAGGAGCAGCAGGGGGAGCGAGCCCGGCACCGGCACCGGCACCGGCACCGGCACCGGCACGGCGGCAGCGTGCCCCCTCCCCTGCCCGGGCGGCACACCTGGAGGCGGATCCCAGGCGGCGGCGGATGAGGGGGCGCACGTACAGGTAGGCAAACATGCATGTGGCGCCTGCGGGGGGGCGGCGCGGGCGGGCAGGGAGGGAGGCTGGGAGCGAGTGCGGGCTCAGGATGACGGCCTGGGCACCCCAGGCAGGCTGCCGGCAGCCTGCGCCTCACCAAACAGGTAGAACCACTTCTTGTTGATGTGTGACCGCTCAATCACATCCTGCGGCAGTCCCGGCACCGCACCGTGTGAGAGGAGCGGCGGCAGGCTGGCGGCGGGCGCAGCGGCGACCACGAAGCCGAAGCTTCATGCGGGAGTGCGCCTGACTGCTGG